CAGCAGCAGTCACTCAGTCATGTTTGACTCTTTGCAATCCCATGGACTGTGGCCCACCAGGCTCCTCTGTCCATGAGAATTCTCCAGGCAAGAATACTGGAGTGGATTGCCATACCCTCCTCTGAATTTCCAAGTCATGGTAAAAAGCTATAGACAAATAAACTGCAAAAACCTATGATAAAAGTAGAAAAATGTCAAAAGTAAAAAGCAGCCCTGAGTTTCAAACACCCCTTATATAAAAGCGTAAGGACTCTCATTCCTGACTGATGATGCACACGAACTGCTCTTCATTTCTCAGACACTGGATGGTCTTCACTCCATTCCTACTATAAACATTACCCATCGCAGCTAAAGAATCCTGCCCTCCCCACTATCCCCAATCTCCCATCTTTGCCAAGAGCCCTCTGCCATCACTTCCATGGACACTTTGTACCTGTCCCTCACCATCACCTGAGCCCTTTTTAGAAGCTGTGTATCTGACAATAAACAGGACTGTTCTGGCTGAAAGGGAGGAGATATGCACCTAGCAATCTGAAACTTTAGGTGCCTGCTCTCAGAAATACTGAGTTAGTCCACAGGCTGTTTAAAGCCTATGATAGTATTAATGGAAAACCCTCCATCGTATGATGTATTAAAGAGGCTTTTGTGGTCTAACAGGGAAACCCAACCACAGTGCAGATCATTGTTACTATGTTCTGACCTCTGTAGCAAATACAGATTTTACTTTGTAAGCCACAAAGGAGTATTACTCCATTCTGCTCTCTAGCAGAGCTGGGGAGAAGTGGATGAAGGCAGTCAAGAATGCCCAGCTTCCCTATGTAGAGACTTTGAATCAGTTCTGTTCTCAGTGCCATGCATTACCCCCTATTTTAGGAGAACATGGTGCCTCCAGGCCCAGAACCTTTTCAGAGCCCACTAGAAAAATCTGACTGACTTCTGCAGGAACTTATGTTTCTGCTGCTGCTTTTGCTCTGTGGAGAAGGTGATCATTCCAGTGCACTTTATTTTTTTTTAAACTCCAGAACTTTTTAAAACCTTCTTCTTTCTCGTCCCTTTGTGCATTCTCTGTGTATTCTTTTGCTTTTATTCTAGTTGAATTTCAATAAGGAGTATAATAAATAAATGTGCTGGTCAAACAAATAAATTAAAATGAAAGTTTAGAGGGAATTCGTACGTTATGGTTAATGACCTTTTTGTTATTGATTAGTAGGACTTCTTTTTACGTTAAGGAAATTTACTACTTTGTCACATATGGTATGACTATTTTGCCGACTTGGGCTTTTGCCTTTTGAGCTTTTTTCGTCATGTAAAAAGATTTTCATATTGATTTAGTCAAATATATCAGCCTTTCCCCCCCCCACCTTTTGGCTTTTCTTACGCTTATAAAGACCATTTTCTTTAAGATTATTAAAACATTTTCTCATGCTTTTTCTCTCAATTTTTTTCAGTTTTATTTCTTTATTCATTTTTAGGTTTTAATTTTTGATCAATCTAGAACTTATTTTGGTGTAAGGTGTGAGGTAAAGCTCCAATTCTATTGTCCTCAAAATGATTTCAACATTTTAAAACATTTCAAAATGTCCCCCTTGTTTCTTTCACCTCTCATTTAAAATACTACCATTTTCTATATGCTAAAACTTGGTATGCCAGTATGCCTTGGGTCCAATTTAGATTTGTTTCATTCACTTGTTTATTTATATGACAGCTTTAATTATTGAAGATCCTATAGTTAGCTTTAATATTGGGTGGAATTTGTCCTTTCTGATTGCTCTTCTTAAAACAATATTTTAGATTATTCTTATACTGTTTTTTCTTTATAATATTTTAAAGTTTGTGCAGTTTCAAAAGACACATATAAACTTTAAAAAATTAATATAAAATATATTAATCATAACCTAAAATAATTATATTATTGTTTATAATAGTTTTCATTTTATTCTGATTTTTTAGGTCAACATTCACATATATGTAAATAATGACTTCTACTTTTCTAATTGTTTTAGCTCTTATTTCTTTTTACAGAGTGTTTAATGATAATGTTGGGGGAAAAATAATGTTTGTAGCTGGCATTTTTTTTTCATTTCTGGTTTTAATAGAAACACTTCTAAATTTCTCCATTAAAAATCAAGCAAGCTTTTGCACTGAAATGTATCATCTCAATGTATGGAGGTGATCCTATGGTTTTAATCTTTTAACTGCTTTTACTTAAGTTAAAAAAATTATCTTTTGCCATTTTTAAGGGAAACAATGTCATATCACTTGGTTCATTAAACAATCACAGGACTTCCAAGGTCTTCAGAACCATCACCTCCTTCCTGCATTATTCCTTTTGTTCTCAGTCTCAACTGCCACTGGAATGTGGAAGGTGTGACTGACAACTAAACCACCCCCTGAAGCCTCTAGCACAGACAGTTTCATATATTTTGTGGATAGTAAAGTACCTAGAGTCATGTAAATTTGTATTAAAAATTCAGTTTTTGGTAAAGAGGTTCTGTTACACTTAGGATATCTTAGTAAGAATGCCTTTTGTGTTGAGCATAAAAAACTAAAACACTGTATTGAAAGGTCGAGTATGAAGTTGCTGAGGTGGGAAACACACTGGACCTGAAAACAGAAATTCCAGTTATGTTCTTGCCCCTTGCCACCTTCTTGGACTAATCATTTGACTACTCTGAGACACAGCTCAAGAATGGAAATGATCATTGTAAGTTTTACAGCACCTTACCAACTGAGGAGCCCAGTGGGCTACCTTCCATGGAGCTGCAGAGAGTTGGACATGACTGAGCATGCACACAGGCACCAATATTAGGCATCATCTTCCAATTTTAAGAATATTTCAAATCTTTAAAATTAACTTCAAAATTGAGTTTAAACCATATTAATTTTTTCACAATAATTAATGCAATAAAATGAGTTTTTGTTCTACACAAAATGACATAAGGTGCATAAAAAGGGGGGGTTCACTAGTGTTCAGCTTCTCTAGCAATACATAGTGCCACCCCAGTGTGATGGGGTAGTTATATGCAAGTGGTGCCTCTCAGCTCTGATGCCACAACTTGATGTCCTTCTAGAATCTCCTGGCTCTAGCCATTGTCTTTCTTTTCCTTTTAAAGCATGAGCTTCCTTACTTCACAGTCTTGAGAAATTTCCTGCCACTTCCCTTTAAATGGGGCTTCCCTGGTGGCTAAGATGGTAAAGAATCTGCCTCCAATGCAAGAGACCTGGGTTCAAGGAATCTGGGTTCCTGGGTCGGGAAGATCCCCTAGAGAAGGAAATGGTAGTATTCTTGCCTGGAGAATTTCATGGACAGAGGAGCCTAGCAGGCTATAGTCCATGGGGTCGTAAAGAGTCAGATAAGACTGAGCAACTGATACTTTGACTTTCCCTTTAAATGCTCACGTCTCAGGACCTGGTTGGGAAGATAAGTCTTTAGAAGCAGCTGCAGAAACTTAAAGAAGTTGTGAATGCTTCCTGAGGCAAATGAATCCAGAATGTAGAAGCCTGTGTGTTCTCTAATAATAACCTTCCCCATCTTCTCAGTCTTCTGTAGCAGTGAACACTAGACAGAAATTAATAGCTCAATAAATTATACTGCCACTAGTCAAGTCTAACATTCAAGTCATCATTTTTCTGCTCAATACTAATAAGGGGATAGTGGCTCCATCTGCCTTAAAGTCTCAGTTCTGGTTTTGGTGTCACATTTACACCATGGCCCTGAGGCCATCCAGTAGATGTCTATAAATTATCCTCTCTCCCATGCATCAAGAAAAGGACTAGCTTTATATAATCCTTACAAGATATGAGAAGATAATCATTCAAGTCATTTCTTGAGTTTTGTGGTTCAGATTAAGAATGAATTTCTGGTAATGGAGGGAAAAGGTTAAGACACGGTTTTGAAGTCCAATCATTTGGGTTCTAACTTCATCTCTTTCTACCTGTACATCTTTTTATCTTTTTGAAGAGGAGAGGTGTGGGAGAAACTCAACTTCTTTATCAATGAAAAGGCAAAAGTAATATGACCCACTTCTTGAGTTTATATGTGTAAGACCATCAGAACAGAACCTAATATATAGTAAATGTTCAACACTCAATAAATGCTGGCTTCCCTGGAGGAGGTCATGGCAATCCACCCTACTATTCTTGCCTGGAGAATCCCCATGGACAGAGGAGCCCGGCAGGCTATAGTCCATGGGGTCGCCAAGAGTCAGACGTGACTAAACGACTAAGCCAGCCTATTAAAAGAAAATCAAAGCAAATAGTGCTTCTTCCTCCTAAAAAAGACATGTCTTCTTTAACCTTTCATATATTTAAGTAAAACTTAACATTTATGTAAATATCAGAAAGTTATATCATCACTCTGAATGAGAGGTGTTGTATTCTAAATCATAAGTCCAATAGTTTAGATTAAAAAAATTTTCATTGTTATGAAACTAGGTAGTCTGATAAAATGTTTTGCAGGTAATATTTTCTTCTTTGCTTATTTATCCAATATATACTGACTAAAGCATATTCAACCAGGCATTATTAGAAACATTACAAGATGAATGTTTCATTTCAGTCCATAAAAAGTTAATGTGACCTGGAAGTATGGTTAGTACCTGCAAAACACATAACCAAGATACTGCAAAACTTGGAAATGAAGTATGATTATTAATCAATGATGTTAAACACAGGTCTATGAAGGATATGACTTTTGAATTAAATCTCGAATCATCAGTGGTCCACGTCTGGGCTGAAAAGGGCTCCATGGTAAAATATCTAACTGGAGGGCCTTATGGATGTTTACATAAATGGGCAAGGACTCCAGTTTCACTGGTAAGAAAAGTAATTAATATGAGACTGGAAAGGTAAAATGAGCACACTACTATGCAGAAAATGAAGGCTGCCAAGGGATGTCTAAAGCTTTGTTTGATTGGCACTAAAGAAGAGATATTACATCTCATGCCTTTAGTCAATAGTTTCTTTCCTGGTGGACTGACTGATACTTGTTTCTTCTTCAGGTTTCTTTGGTTAGCTTGGTAGCCAACGCTCTTGGCTACTCAGAACTCGGTGCCATCAAATCCCTACGGACATTAAGAGCTTTAAGACCTCTGAGAGCTTTATCCCGGTTTGAAGGCATGAGGGTAAGAAGAATAAAAGCTCTGATGATTCATATCAAAATTAAATGTAGGTAATGATTTAGATACAGAGGGGTGCCACACTCTTCTGACACTTCTTTCATATAATTATACAATTTCAAAGCAGAAATCCTAAAAATCACTATGCTTAGCCTCCTGAAACTAAAACAGGCCCTCAAAAAAAATTTCTGTGGCAGTACTAAAACTAGAATCCAGGTCTCCTGGCAACAGATCAAGGATGTTTCCACACAACTACAAACTCTGTGTTGCCACTTATTTCTTTTCACTGCTTATACATTTTATAATGACTGTTTACTACTGACATTCATCCTAGGAGGAGATATTCTTCCTTTCAATAGGTAGTTTGATTTCTTAAAAATAACTAGTAATGAAATTTTTGTGTGCTCTACTTCTTCCATTAATATTGGTAATAAAAAGTTGTTGTGCAAGAAAACAACACTAAATTGTAGCCTCTAACAAAATCTGCATATCCTAAGCAACCAAAGTAGGGGTTAGGATAATTAACTAAGCATTGCAGGCAACCCCTGGGGTTTGTTTTACAGATCTCCCTTCTAAGTGAGCATTCTGAATGAGGTTCACTTTTTCCATTAGCACTTGTATTTCCTCTCCATCTCTCTTCCTTAGTGTACATTTTATGCATCTAAACATAAAGTACACAATATTAACATCTACTTGCCACACCCCTCAAAATACTAGTTAGGACTAAGGCCAGCTTTGTTTAATCCAGCTTGCAAATGCACATGGATATTGAATTTCTTCTAGGCCATAGGGCTTTTATGTTAGGAGGTGGTTTGTTGAAGCAGTAAAAACACTTCAGCCTTGACTTTGAGATTCACTCACCAGGAAGAATGAAACCACTCTCCAGATGCGCTGTAAGCAAGGAAATACTTAAGTGTTACATTATAATTTTACTTCACTGTTACTTGAGAAATAAACACACAAGATAAAATTTTTAAAAAATTATTATGTAATTTCAAGCTTTTTCCATACCAATCTTTTAGTATTACTGACATTTAAGCCTTCATCTGATTGCATGGCTTCGTATCAATAATTCATTTTTGAGGGCAGACAGCAACTGAACAAAATTAAAAACTTCCAAATTTGCTCTAATCTGAAAACTATTCTGCATTAACATTTTTAATTCTCATAATATGACAGAATTAATATTCTAGGTATAAAATATGGTAAAAGGTATCATGCATTTACTTGATAAGAAAATTTATGGGAGGTCATTTTACACAAATTTTAGAGCAAAAAAACTGGTTTTGGTATAATATACATGACAATTTCTATAAGAAATAAGATTCAACTAGCATATGAAGTTTTTACAATTTTGGATTTCAAGTTTTGATATTAATTTATAATTCTTTGGTGTTGATTTCTAAAATAATGTTTCAGCAATTTAAAACAATAGTTTCACAGATAAGTGAAACTTATAAGTTTCACTTATAAGTGCTTAACAAAAAGTCCCAATTTTAATTAATTAGATAAAACAGGTTAATTAGATAAGAAAACACAAACTGCTAGATATTTGAAAATACATATTAATCTCTTCTGAATTTAATTAGAGGAAAGGTGATGGAACTTCTCCTTCATCAAACAGGTTGGCCTGGGTTGGTAAAGTAACGAGTGCCCCGAAGTAAACCTTTAAGAGATTTGGAACAATAATAATGGGAATACGTTCAGTACTTTTATGTCCAGAGATAAATTCCATCTTATTTCCCATCTTAATTTACTTTTTAAAAAATTAGGAATTAGTAGCGGAAAAATGACCTTGCAAATTCCTAATACTATTCTTCATCATCATCAAAACTTAGCTTGATCTGGGGACATAGATTTAAGGCATTATCATTACTTTGTTTTTTGTAGTGGGCTTGTTTAACCATGTTTTCAAACCACCAATTACTCATTAATACCTTTGAAAATTCAAATGAATTGCTGAATGATGATTACTTCTTCTGTTGGTATTTAATACATTTTTTTCTTTTTTTCTCCAGCATACAAACATTTTCTGACTCCATCTTACTCTATCAGGTTTTTGTTTATTTCTTTTCATACTTTGGAATATTTTGCTTTCCTTAAATCCTTTAGCTTTTTAGTTGTGTCACTGTCTGTTTTCCCTTACTGAATATGTTCTAGAAAATATCAGAAGAAACAACTTTCCACCTAGATTTTTATTTAACTCATTAAACACCCATTTTATGTTAACTATATAATCAAAAGAATGGTTTCCATTTTAACAATTTGTAAGCTGCCTTATCCTTATCTCCTCTTCTAGGTCGTTGTGAATGCTCTTGTTGGAGCAATTCCCTCTATCATGAATGTGCTGTTGGTTTGTCTCATCTTCTGGCTGATCTTTAGCATTATGGGTGTGAATTTGTTTGCTGGCAAGTTCTACCACTGTGTAAACACGACAACGGGTAACATGTTTGATGTTAGTGAAGTTAACAATTTGAGTGACTGTCAGGCTCTTGGCAAGAAAGCTCGGTGGAAAAATGTGAAAGTAAATTTCGATAATGTTGGAGCTGGCTATCTTGCACTGCTTCAAGTGGTAAGTACCTACTATATGAGTTTTGAAAAAGATTTCAAGTAAATCATTTCTCTGATGTTTTCTGAGTGATTAATATCTGACAGCACAGAAGTAGCTGATGATAACAGCTGTACTCTAATAGCTGTACTATTAGCTTGACTTGACTGTAAAGAAGATATTTTGCAGTGATTTTAATGTATTTCCCGCAATGTTCAGTTGTTAGTGTTTTAATATAATTTTATATTTCTGCTTCCTGTTTTTTTCTTATTCTATTATTGTTATTGCGCTATTACCATTTTTAGTTTTCTGTACCAATAATTGCCAAAGAAGCAGTTTTGTGTATTAAAATAGTAATATATATAGTAGTAATTAATTAAATGTATAGATTATTAGCCAGAGAATTAATTGTATCAATATCATCAGGGTATAGATCTATTAGGTATGGAAATGCAAATCTTTTGGTGTAAATTTCAAAATGTGTAATATTTAATTATTTTGACTTAATTCACAATATATTAACTAATCAAGAAATTAACCAAAACAGTTGAGTACTTAAACACACCAGAGGTTTGAATGATAGAGCTTAGCTTATCTGAAAGTGATTTGAGACTGAGATTTATCTAGTTAAATGTTAGCGCAGAAAAAAAATAGAATACCTTCCAAGACAAAACGAGTTCCAGTTTTGAAATAAAATCCTATTCAATTTCAGTTTCATTGAAATTTCAACTGCAGAGGATTCCAGCCTCTTTGTAGAGTATTTCAAAATATTATACAAAAAAATTATTTTTAATAACTATCATATTTTCATATGGTAAAATGCATACTGTTGGATTAGGTTTTTATGCAGAATTCAAATATATGTTGTTTAACAGGCCACATTTAAAGGCTGGATGGACATTATGTATGCAGCTGTTGATTCACGAGATGTAAGTATCACTCAAATACTATTTATAGTTACTAGATTTTTCCATAGTGAACATTTGTGATAATTTAACTGAAAGGCCCAGAATATTATATTAGAAGCCATCAGAACATTTACAACTGCATGTAGAGATTCTCTTTTTAAGCCAATTCACTTCCATGTAAATGATACTTTGGTTAATATATGTTTGTTATATACCTAATAACAGGTCAGTCAGGTCAGTCCAGTAAATGAGACTCTTAAGGTTGGGAAAACTGCTCAGGCGGGAAGGAACTAGTCTCCCCCATCCCTGGAGAGTATGATAAATCAGAGTCTGTGAAGCGGCTTCCAAAAATATCATGATAAAAGTAAGCAAGTTTCAGGGAAACTCAATTTAGAAAACAGAAATAAAAATAGTTCTTCAGCACACATGTGTTTTTGCTGAATTTTCCTCTTAGAAGTCGATGTTCTGTTATTAAAGCCTTATCTCCAAGATAAGGAGTTATCTTGGGTTTCAACTCCAAACCCAAGTTGAAAATACTGCAAAAAAAAAAAAATTATAGTAAGACAAACAGTGGGTTCAAAATGTTTGCCTTGTTTATACCACTGTTATTTACTCTAAAGAATATGTACAGGTAAGCCCCAATGGGAAAACAGATTTAAGAACAATCATAAAAAAATTACAAACTTTCAATATACTAGTAGTGTTTGTCACTCAGTCATGTCTGACTTTTTGCGACCCCATGGACTAGAGCCCACCAGACTCCTCACTCCTTGGAATTCTCCGGGCAAGAATAATGGAGTGGGTAGCCATTCCCTTCTCCAGGAAATCTTCCTGATGCAGAGATAGAGTTCAAGTCTCCTGCATTGCAGGCAGATTATACTAGGTCATGCTAATTTGAAAAAAAGAACTGCTTTTGCAGAACAATATCTCAGGTCAAGGCAAAAAATAGCTCTATAGAAAGTAACAACACTCACCAAATTTTTAGTTCAGCCCAAGTATTTATTGTGTTTTTAAATGTTATTTAATATTTTCAATATTATTTAGGTTAAACTTCAGCCTGTATATGAAGAAAATCTGTATATGTACTTATACTTTGTCATCTTTATCATCTTTGGGTCATTCTTCACTCTGAATCTATTCATTGGTGTCATCATAGATAACTTCAACCAACAGAAAAAGAAGATAAGTATTCCTCGGCTCTCACCTTTCTCCATTCTGAGATTCTGGTTTTTTTACATCCCGATAACCAGGACACTCATAATCATGACCGACTTAGGTCATTTTTATATTCTTTTTCATTTGCTATGTGGTCAGTTCAACTACAGAGGATTCCAGCCTCTAACTGGTGGCTCCTCTCCAGGTTCATCCTCTGCAGATCTGCTATAGTGTCATTCTGGCTTAGAAATATGACCATATTGCCTCAAAACATCCAGTGGGCCTCAATGCTTTACCCTTGCTTACAGAGCCTTTCAGGAATTATCTCCACCCAGTCTTCCAGCTTCATCTTCTCCTACACACTTTCTATATTCATTTCCCTCCTCCTCAGTAACCACCCACCCACCATTAACACTATCACTTGCTACACACACAGCTACATGGATTTTCTGCCCTTTTCTGAACAAGGTATGCTCTTTTCCCTCTGTCACTTTACACAGTATATTTTCTTTCCCCCTAAAATGCTTTGTCCAGCAAACCCTTAATCATACTCTAGCTTAAGGTCTAGCTTAAGCGTGTTAGTAGCTCAGTTGTGTTCAACTCTTTGCGACACTATGGACTGTAGTCCGCCAGGCTCCTCTGTCCATGGGATCTCCCAGCCAAGAATGCTGGGGTGGGCAGCCATTCCCTTCTCCAGGGGAATTTTCACAACCCAGGGGTTGAACCTGGGTCTCCTATACTGCAGGCAGATTCTTTAACATCTGAACTGCTCCCCTATATAAAGCCTGTTTCTGAATCCTGGAGTTTATTGTTATCTCCTCAGTGATGGGTTGTTTTATTTGTTTATATATAGATGCATATAGATACACGTAGATGTAAATCTATGTAATTCTGGGTACATTGTCTTATACACAGCAAGTGCTCAAAAAGTGTTGAATTAAAAAATAAAGCTGGCGACACTGAAATGAATTAAGAATTTTTTCCTTAATGAAAACATATTTGAGACCCCTAAGCCTCCTTCTAAACATAATATTATCAAATTAGAATCCTGTACTAATCACAGTTTTATGTGATTATGTGTTTTACATAAGGTTAAGGTACTCAGAATTTCACATAAAACCAAAAAGCAGGATAAATCTATATGAAGTAGGGTAAGATCCATTTAAAAATTGAAAAGAAGGATTAAAGGAAAGACTCAGAATTATTTTTGTAAAAGTATTGCTGTAATACAGGGTGGATTGTAACCAGTTTTCTACTATGTCTTTACTTTGGAGGTCAAGACATCTTTATGACAGAGGAACAGAAAAAATACTACAATGCAATGAAGAAACTTGGGTCTAAGAAACCTCAGAAACCCATACCTCGGCCTGCAGTAAGAATTACTCATCTCCTTGAACATTCCAAAGCCCTATTTCCATATGATGAAACTGGGCAGTGCTGGTTCAGAACATATTAGGTGATATCACCAATATATATACTGTGATCTAATTGTAAAGTACATGTTGTATAACACAATTTGCAATTACTACACTCTATGAATTACTAAGTTCCTAAAAATGAGGCAGTGTTCTTTACTTGTCAGTTGAAAAGTTCCAAGTCAGAGTTCCCAGTAACTGCTCCAAAAGCAAGCTCATGCTCCTGCTGCCACCTACTGCTGCCAACAGTGCACCCTTCTCTCCTTCCCTGATCTGTTACATGGGCCCCCTCTTGTCCTTTTAAGCAGATGAACTTAAAACCTCCCATTCAACACCCATGGCCTCCCTCTGTGCCATTTGTTCTCTCCATTGTTATGAACAGAAAACAATTTTTCACCTACTTAGAAAGGGAAGGGTGTCATCAAAATAGTTGGTTTCAGCATACACACACACACACACACACAAATGATTTATCTAGAATGCATACCCTATAGAGCTTCATTAATAGTGCAAAGACAAAGATGGTGTATTATGTCCACAGAGTTGTATTCTAAATTACCTATCCTCTTAGATGGGTAAGGAACAAGGAAACTAAGACCCAGAGAAGGTATATATTGTACCGAAAGTCACAAAGCCTATAATTGCTGAACTAGGACTTGACAAAGTCTCATGAATCTTATAAATGACTTCACTTTGCATAATTTTTAAGAGGGTGCAGGGGTGGGGCAGGAGGGAAGGGAGGGGAGGGAGGAAGTAGGGCAGGATACACAAAAGGACATAAACCTACTTTACTGAATGTCATTTAAGTATTATTGTTAGAAGCAGCAGAATTAAATAAAAAATGACTGATATTTTGGGTCATGGACAGACAGAAATAAGACATAATTCAAAACTCCTAAAGTGTTGATACATCAACTGGTGCATTCATCCATCTAAAAGTCTGTCTACATTAACCTAATTTGTAAATCTTCGTTGCTAGTTGTTATATTTTTTGTAAAAATTGCCAGTTAGTAAAATCAAGCAAAGCCCATGCACATTATCAGCCAGTTGCCACCAATTTATGTCATTCAGCTTTGTCTTCCCATAGAATCTAAATAAAACAATTATGCTTTGCTTTTGTCATACGACATTTTTCATTTCCTTCTCTTTTTTTAACAGATTTGTTTCAGGTAGTGTGAGAAGGGTACACATCCGGTGGGCCATATACAGAAGGACTTCATCTGCAATTTTATGGATCATTATTTATGAAATGTGCATATTAACCTTCTCGTTTTCTCTCTCTTTCTAGAACAAATTCCAAGGGATGGTCTTTGATTTTGTAACCAGACAAGTTTTTGATATCAGCATCATGATCCTTATCTGTCTCAATATGGTCACCATGATGGTGGAGACTGATGACCAGAGCAAATACATGACTCTAGTTCTGTCCCGAATCAACCTTGTGTTCATTATTCTGTTCACTGGAGAATTTGTGCTGAAACTGATCTCCCTCAGATACTACTACTTCACCATAGGCTGGAACATCTTTGATTTTGTGGTGGTGATTCTTTCCATCGTAGGTAAGAATGGTTTATTTACCGAGAAGTATAGTTGTTGAAAAACCCCCCCAGAGCCTACCACCTGTGTAACATGGAAATTAGATCTGAGAATCATCATGCGTGCAGATCTAAAGTTCAACACTCTTGGTCATTTTCCACTAATTGAAAAAGGACAGTATTCAAAAAGAAAGCAATATATTTGAAGATTGAAGAAGCAGTCTTTGTTTGCTGTTGAAACATTTCATACATGAGGATAACTATTCATAGTAATTGGGAGTATGTAATCTTAAAATCAGAGAAGGCAATGGCACCCCACTCCAGTACACTTGCCTGGAAAATCCCATGGATGGAAGCGCCTGGTAGGCTGCAGTCCATGGGTTCGCCAAGAGTCGGACACGACCAAGCGACTTCACTTTCACTTTTCACTTTCATGCATTGGAGAAGGAAATGGCAGCCCACTCCAGTGTTCTTGCCTGGAGAATCCCAGGGATGGGGGAGCCTGGTGAGCTGCCCTCTATGGGGTCACACAGAGTCAGACACGACTGAAGTGACTTAGCAGTAGCAGCAATCTTAAAATTCCATATGAATATGTGAAATTATTTAATTTATAGGATTTTGCAAGGGTTCATATCAGTTTATGACATTATAGAATTATTAAATAAAACTCTATACTCTTTCATTGGTAATGTTAAGAAGTGGATCCAAATAGTAAAGATTTATACTCATGACAAATTTGTTGCTTTCAATAATCTCACAAAGAAAAAGCATTCATATAAGCCTATGAACATATACTCACTGTTAGCGGTTTTCTGTATTTTTCCATAGGTATGTTTCTGGCTGAGCTGATAGAGAAATATTTTGTGTCCCCTACCTTGTTCCGAGTGATCCGTCTTGCCAGGATTGGCCGAATCCTGCGTCTGATCAAAGGGGCCAAGGGAATCCGCACGCTGCTCTTTGCTTTGATGATGTCCCTTCCTGCGTTGTTTAACATCGGCCTCCTGCTCTTCCTGGTCATGTTCATCTATGCCATCTTTGGAATGTCCAACTTTGCCTATGTTAAAAAAGAAGCTGGAATTGATGACATGTTCAACTTTGAAACCTTTGGCAACAGCATGATCTGCCTGTTCCAGATTACCACTTCTGCTGGCTGGGATGGATTGCTAGCACCTATCCTCAACAGTGCACCACCGGACTGTGACCCTGACACAATTCACCCTGGCAGCTCAGTTAAGGGAGACTGTGGGAACCCGTCTGTTGGGATTTTCTTCTTCGTCAGTTACATCATCATATCATTTCTGGTCGTGGTGAACATGTACATCGCTGTCATCCTGGAGAACTTCAGTGTTGCTACTGAAGAAAGCGCAGAGCCTCTGAGTGAGGATGACTTTGAGATGTTCTACGAGGTTTGGGAGAAGTTCGATCCCGACGCCACCCAGTTCATAGAGTTCTCCAAGCTCTCTGACTTTGCAGCGGCCCTGGATCCTCCTCTTCTCATAGCAAAACCAAACAAAGTCCAGCTCATTGCCATGGACCTGCCCATGGTCAGTGGGGACAGGATCCACTGCCTCGACATCTTATTTGCCTTTACAAAGCGTGTTTTGGGTGAGAGTGGAGAGATGGATGCCCTTCGAATCCAGATGGAAGATCGCTTCATGGCATCAAACCCCTCCAAAGTCTCCTATGAGCCCATCACAACCACTCTGAAACGCAAACAAGAGGAGGTGTCTGCGGCTATCATTCAGCGTAATTTCAGGTGTTATCTTTTAAAGCAAAGGTTAAAGAAGGTAGTGAATGAGTATAACAAAGAGGCGATCAAAGGGAGGATTGACTTACCTATAAAAGATGACATGATTATCGACAAATTAAACGGGAACTCCACCCCAGAAAAAACAGACGGGAGTTCCTCTACCACCTCTCCTCCTTCCTATGATAGCGTAACAAAGCCAGACAAAGAAAAATTTGACAAAGACAAACCAGAAAAAGAAAGCAAAGGGAAAGAGGTCAGGGAAAATCAAAAGTAAAAAAAAAAAAAAGAAACAAAGAATTATCTTTGTGATCAATTGTTTACAGCCTAAGAAGGTAAAGTTTATGTGTCAACTGAACTCCCAGAGGAGGTCTATGCCAAACTGACTGTTTTAACAAATACTCATGGTCAGTGCCTATAACAAGACAGTGACCTCTCCGTCATTACAACTCTGTGAGTCAGGGTATCAACACTGACAGGAGGTTACTGTTTTCTTTACCAGCTGACACTGCTGAGGAGAAATTCAATGGCTACCCAGACCATAGGGATAGTTGTGCAAAGTGATCCATTGTAACCACACCAAACACTTTTAGTACAGTACTTGCATCTACTCTATTTTTAACTTCCATATCTGCCATATTTTTACAAAATTTGTTCTAGTGGATTTCCCTGGTCGCTAATTCATAGTTTATTCATAATACTATGTCACTATTTTTGTAAATGAGCTTTAGGTTGAGAAAAAAGAATTTAAGAGCCCTGTGTTCCTACTCCGTAAGTTTCTCGAATCAGACAAGAGCTTTGCCCAAGAGATGAAATTCTTGCTCAAAACCAGAAAAAAATTCTAACACTATCAGGTACTTCCATTTTCTAGACGGCTTTAATTTTGAAAGTGTTTCAGTCTACATTTGTTTATATCTAAACAGTTATGTGCCTGTAAAGTCTCCTCTAATTTCTAAAGGATTATTTTTATGCAAAGTATTCTGTTTCAGCAAGTGCAAATTTTATTCTAAGTTCCAGAGCACTATATTTAATTTTGGTTAAATGCTTTCCCCAAAAAAGTAATCTAATAAATCTGTTCTAGAAAAGTATATCTAAAGCATCACTTTAGAATAGTTGTTCCACTTTCTGCTGCAGTATTGCTTTGCCATCTTCTGCTCTCAGCAAAGCTGACATTTTATGTCAATTAAACACACCCTCTGTTATGTAAATAGTTATTTTATCCTGTGGGCACATATTTGCAGATATATATACACACACACACATATATATATATATCTCCTGACAAACAACTCCTATTAAATCAAATATGTACCACAGTATATGTGTCTTTTGCAAGCTTCCAACAGGGATATATCCTGCACCATTCATTAAACATAAATAGTTTGAAGACTATCACTAATGCATGTTAATTGCCTATGCTGCTCTATTTTACACAATCCATTCTTCACAAGTCTTGGTTAGAAGTCACATGCTGGTAGTAGAGTGATTTCAACCTGCTCTATGTCTAGTAAGTCAAGCAGAATAGCTTGCAGTTATTTAAAAGCACTTTTCCTTTTCCATTTTTAATTCAATTTGAGTGTCATATGGTGTCTCTCTAGATTCAAGGAAACACACTGCATACTGCCTACTGTCAAAACATACACTTCGTATTTTGCTAAAAATATGTCCAAAACTTGTTTAAATATAAATAATGTAAAAATATGATCAATTTTATTTGCTGCATTTTATACATAAGATAATTATTTTCAAGTTGATGACATGGCAATTTATTTTACTTTATGCTTTTGCTTTTATTTTTAATCACAACTCCAAACTTTTGAATCCATTAGACTTTTCAATGGATAATTTCCTAAAAGTTAGACAATGGGTTTTGTGGATTTCTTTGTTATAATATATTTTCTATCATTCCAGTAGGATATACATTGGTCAAATATTCAAACCTAGGTCATTTTCTACCAACTATGGTTGCCTCAATATAACCCTTTATTCATGGAAGGTTTTTTTTTAACTCAACTTTTGTAGTATTTGCTTATGCAGACTAGTCTTATTTTTTTAATTCCTGCTGCACTAAAGCTATCAGAGATATAACTTGGGCTATGTCCCTTTTAGCCATGAACATAGTGGCAAAGTTGTGCAATTACTTAACATGATATAAATTTTTGTTTTTGCACAAACCAAAAGAGTAATGTTAATTCCTTTTACACAACTATTTACTTGTAGTGTATTGATGAACTGCATGCAGGGAATTGCTATTATTAAAAAGAATGGTGAGCTATGTCATTATTGAGCCAAATGAATAAATATTTCATTTTTTATTGTATTTAATTTTTTGACTTCTGTTTTTATTGTTGGAAGTTTAAACTATATATAATTAATGAAACCTGTACGTGATCTGACATTTGTATACATAAAAGTTCACATGAATTTTATAACAACCTACTGCACGATTTACCGAGAAATACTATAAAGTCAATTAAAAGCAGTTTTGATGAACTTTTCTGTGTGCAAAAGATCAAGCCCACATATTCCAACTTGCAAGTTTAATAGCAATAACGGTAGCCATCTACAACAGTTATCAATTTCAATTAATTCTCTTGGTTGTAAACATTTTAATCTCAACTCCTCACTATGTAATCTCCAAATTTCTTGGTAGTAAATAAATGTTATAGTACATAATTTGTTACTTAAATTCATTTTATGAATTTCTATTTACACATAAAATATTAATGATGTAGTGACTGAGAAATTATATTAATCTTTTTTTTTTTCAGGGTCCCTTGGATTTATGTCAGGCCAAAACAAAATATTTATTCTCAATGGAAAACTCCATTTGTAATGCTTATATTTTTGATGAATTGAACCATATATACATTTTACAATTTCACCAATGTAGATGGAATAAGGTGACTTAGTTGGAATTCACTGGCTTCTTTCTGTTCAAGTCAATTTTCAGATTTTGCCAACACCACAGAGAAGTCAAGTGTTACTATGCAAAGTCCTTAACCTTTTTATGTACCCCATTATATGATTATTGGCCAAGTATATCTATTGATATGTATTATATCTAAATGATCTTATGGTCAGAAGAGTCTTCAGTTGTAAAAAAATATATATTTAAAAAAATATACCTAGCTAAAGGATATTCTGAAAATGTTCAGAATTTAGGGTTGCTAATGTAATTTGACAGATATCTGAAATAACTACTTTCACAAGAAAAATCCTCTTATTATTAAACTTCATGATATAATTTTGTTAAAAATAGAATTAATCAAGTTGGACACAGAAATAACAATACCAAGAACTTAAAGAAACTTAAATTCACCAATAAGTGATACTAAATCACAAATAAATGATACTAAATCACCAATAAGTGATCCTTTAGTAAAAAAAACCATTTGTGTGGAGAGAAAAATGAGTATTCTGCATTCTACATTTCAAATACTATAACTGAAAGATAATGGCTATATAAACTTATGCATTTCTAATTTTCAAATAACTAGAATACAATAAAATATCATAAATCATTCTTGTAAATTTCAAACTACTAGTAGTAATCATAAAGAATGTCCTTGCTAAAAAAAAAAAAGAATGCCCTTGCTGACCATTTTTTGTGGACATGGAAAATGTAAAACAGAAAAATGGATCAAAAGTTCTGACACTTGACATTTAGTATAAGTTCTGATATAAAACTAGCAGTGTAATCTAGGAAAATCAATTCTGACCCTCAGATTCCCCCTCTATTTTAATGGGGATGCTGGATTAGGGATGTTGTCTCTAGTAATACTTTAATTCTACAGCTTTATGTTCAAAATCAAATTGCCTACTCAAAATGAGTAATTTCCTTTATATGAGTAATTTTAATGAAAAATGTATATTGTCAGTACACCATTTAAATGACTACTCAGACAACTTTAAATAGAAACACAAGGGACTTCCCTGGTGGTCCAGTGGTTAAAACTGTATCTTCCAATGCAGGGGCAAGGGTGTGATCCCTGGTCAAGATCACATGTCATGGGGTGTGGCCAAAAATGTTTTAAAAATAAATAAAAACACAACATTTCACCTTGACTTTAGCCCCATTAATGAAGAAGCCTCCTTGGCCTCAAAGATTTTATATGACAAAGGTGAAGAATGTCTTAAATAATTGAAAGCATGACTATTATTTCTTTCCGATAGTGTTACATATTTCTAAAAGACAACATCTGATAAATAACATGAGATTAAAACAAAGGTATCATTAGTTGTACATAAAACTGTCTTGAACTACAAATAATGACAACGACTTCTTTGTCATTAATATTTGCTACAAAACTTCAAGAAGTTGGGCTTATGTCTTATATTCCCTCAGTTCAGTTCAGTTCAGTCACTCAGTCGTGTTCGACTCTTTGCGACCCCATGAATCGCAGCACACCAGGCCTCCCTGCCCATCACCAACTCTCGGAGCTTGATCACACTCAGGTCCATTGAGTCGGTGATGGCATCCAACCATCTCATTCTCTGTTGTCCCTTCTCCTCCTGCCTTCAGTCTTTTCCAGTATCAGGGTCTTTTCCTATGGGTCAGTTCTTCACAGCAATTGGTCAAAGTATTGGAGCTTCAGCTTCAGCATCAGTCATTCCAATGAATATTCAGGACTGATTTCCTTTAGGATGGACTGGTTGGATCTCCTTACAGTCCAAAGGACTCTCAAGAGTCTTCTCCAACACCACAGTTCAAAAGCATCAATTCTTCAGCACTCAGCTTTCTTTATGGTCCAACTCTCACATCCATTCATGACTACTGGAAAAACCATAACTTTGACTAGATGCCCCTTAGTCTGTACAGTAGTGTCTCTGCTTTTTAATATGCTATCTAGATTGGTCACAACTTTTCTTCCAAGGAGCAAGAGTCTTTTAATTTCATAGCTGCAGTCACCATCTGCAGTGATTCTGGAGCCCAAGAAAATAAAGTCTGTCAATGTTTCCATTGTCTCCCCATCTATTTGCCATGAAGTGATGGGACTGGATGCCATGATCATCGTTTTTAGGATGTTGAATTTTAAGCCAGTTTTTTCACTCTCCTCTTTCACTTTCATCAAGAGGCTCTTCAGTTCCTCTTCACTTTCTGCCATAAGGGTGGTGTCATCTCCATCTTCCAAAAACTGGCTCAAATATCATCATCTTTTATGAAGTTTCCTCAGACTGCCCTAAAACCTTTCTCCTCAGACTTCCTAATGTACATCTAGGATGGCATGAAACCATACTGTGCTATATTACCTCCTTTGCACTTATCTTTTCTAA